GGACGATGGTTCACCGCGGGCCTCGCCTCCAACGCGAGCTGGTTCCTGGAAAAGAAGGCGATGCTGTCCATGTGCAAGTCTGTGGTGGTCCGGGCGGCAGACGGTGGCCTCAACCTCACGTCTACCTTCCTCAGGTGGGCGGTAGGGCTTCTGGGGCCAAGGGCTCCCCACCCACCCCCTGAACACTGACCCATGACCCCAAGGGTGATCTGCCCACAGAAAAGACCAGTGTGAGACCCGGACTCTGCTGCTGCGTCCTGCAGACCCCCCAGGCTGCTACAGCTACGTCAGTCCCCGTGAGTAGGGCCCCTCCCGGACCCCAGGGTCCAGCCAGGAGTGACACTTGCTGGCTGGGGACTCTGGGCAAACCCCCTACCCAAAAGTGCATGGGATAGGATGATGGCTGCCCCACCGGGGTTGGCCGGGTCTGGATCTGCCCCAGGCTGTTCCTGCCAGGCCCCTCTCTGCTCCATGATGGACTGTCCCCAGAGGTCTGCGGCCCCACCTCTGCTGGCCAGGCGAAGTACACGCAGGTCCCCTCACACCTCCCACTGTTCCCTGCCCCGGGACCCCAGCCGGGCCCTCCTCACTCACTGGGAGAGAACCTCTCCTCTTCCCCGTTCGGCTGCGGGCCTTGTGGCTGTACCATGAACTCCTGATTTCCTGAGCCTGCATGTTTGTTGGCACCCCAGGACTTCTGGTTTGGAGTCACTGGACCCCACAGAGCTGAAGAGCTGTGCAGGCAGGAAGCAGTGGGTGGGCGCCTGCCCCGGTGAGTGGACGGAAAGGCAGCTAGACAGACAGAAGGAGGAGCACACAGCAGGCCAGCGGAGCTTTGGGGCAGGGTCCCTGGCTGACCGGGGTTGTTTCTTGGGTTCGCAGACTGGGGCAGCAACCACGAGGTGTCGGTGGTGGAGACCGATTATGACGTGTATGCGCTGCTCTACACTGAGGGTGTTAAAGGCCTGGCCCAGGACTTCCGCATGGCTACCCTCTACAGTATGTGCCCCCATGCCAGGCCCACGGTGTGGACTGAGACCCCATCAGAGAGGGGCATCTGGGGGCTCCCCAAGCCGCAGGGCGGGGGCAGAGCCAAGATCTCCCCAGATGGAGGCCAGCGGCTTCTCCTCCCGCCCTAGGCCGCACCCAGGCCCCGAGTGCCCAGGTAAAGGAGAAATTCAGCACCTTCGCCAAGGCCCAGGGCTTCACAGAGGACAGCATTGTCTTCCTTCCGAAGGCTGGTAAGGGGGGCCCTAATCTGACAGGGAGGGGATTAAGGTCAGATTGGAGACAGACAGACGGTCTCCTGATTCAAGGGAGGCTGAAGGGTGAGGTTCGTCCGGCCAGACCGCCCACTGACCGGTACACGGCCTCCAGAGTGGGGGCATTCTGTCCTCACCGCGTGACCTTTGCCTGCAGCCCCTGGGCCGGGCCCAGAAAGATACTCCTCCAGGAAACCCCCCCTCCCTGGGTTTACCAGGCTCCCACTGTGTGCCAGCCCTGGCTCATCCTCCAGGACACGCAGGCCCCCAGCCTGGTGGGGGGCAGGCACAAGGAACAGAGCCTGCGGAGTGGGGTGCCCAGGGCACACAGAGACACCAACCACACTGGGCCTCAGTGCCCACAGCCTCCCTGGGGCAGGCAGCCTGCTCTGGCCCAGGTGGGACAGAACCCACTCCTTCTTTGGAGAAGCAAGGCCTAGGACGGGGTGGGAACGTGACGGAGTGGGAGTCAACCAGGGCTGCGGGGGCTGGGAGGCAGGCAGCCCTGGCAGAAAGTGGCCCTGGCCTGGGGCACTGACCACCAACCCCCGGCTCCTTTCTTGGCAGACAAGTGCATGGGGGAGCATGCATAGGTGAGTGTGATCGTGCAGACTGGCTTCACCCAGTGGTGCCTCCTATTCACTCACTCAGTCATTCAGCATTCACCCACCAACAACCACCCACCTGCCAGGAGAGGGTGGTCCCAGGCAGATGGGGGCTGGTCCAAGGAGGAGGAGGCTCCACTGGGGTTCAGGGAGGTCCCTGGGGGTGGAAGGAGCTGGTGGCTGGGACAGGAAAGGGGTGGGGAAGATGGAGGGGAGGTCAGAGGCTGGTGCCCTTCACCCAGAGACATGGTGGGGAGCCCCTGTGGCCTGACACCGGAAGGAGTCTGGGGACCCTGGGGCCGGGAGAGGTGTCCCACCGACAGGTCCTGCTCTCTTGGCAGGTGACCTCAGCCTCGGCACCTGGCCGCCCTGCCCTGATGGCTCTTCCCTCCAACACCCCGAGACCCTACCCCGGCTCCTTCCGCCGCTGCCTCTGCCCCTCGGGCTTCATCCCAGCTCTGAGAATAAACTCTAGAAGCAACTCAGTGGCCTGGCTCCCGCCTGTCTGTCCTTCAGCCCTTACTCCCAGCTGGCTCTGGCCAACTCCCAGGGGAGCCGAGCACCCCCTCTTGCTTTGGGCCTGGGTCTCCCTTCACCTGGGAGGCTGGTTCTAGCTGACACCCACGAGGGGCGGGCAGGGGCCCGCTAGCTTTGCTCCCGGTGGGGTGGAGGAGTGGGGCTGGGTCAGCAGCCAGGACAGCTGAGGTCGTGTCCATCCCCACCCCACCCCTCCTGGGGCTCTGATCTCAGCGGGGCCATCCAGCCCCGCCCCCTCAAGCTGCAGCTCCGGCTGGGCTGGCTTGGAGCTGGCGCCTGGTCAGCAGCTAACCCTAGGCAGGGCCCACAGCCTGCCCCCTGCCCCCAGCCAGGAGAGGGGGGAGGCCTCGGGGAGTGTTTGAAGGTGCGGGACTAGTGCACTCAGACTGGCAGGGGTAAGGGCGTGGGGGAGGTAGCTGGAGTGCCCGTGACCCCCAGACTCGGACAGGCTGGAGACAGGCCACCCTCACCTCCCCTCAGGCTCTCTGAGAGCCCCAAGCCTCTGACCTGGGCTTCAAGAGCACGCAGCCCTGCCCTCTCGCCAGGCCTCTGGCACCAAAGCTGACCCAGTGCCCCGGGGCGCGGTCTCCCCCCCCAGCCCTGCCCTTGACCTCCTACAATCCCCCAGACTCCCGGATGGAGTGGCCGTTCTCAGGCCCCTGTCCTGGGCCCTCCTGGCTCACAATGTGCAGTGCTCCCTGCAGCCCGTCCACCAGGCCCCCAGCCAGGCTGACCTCAGCCAGGCCCTGCAGATGCACCAGGGGTTGTGAGGCTCAAAGGTGACGGAGAGTTTCTGGGAAGGCTTCCTGGAGGAAGGGGCCTGAGGTCCTGCCTGAGCTGAGGGCTGGGGGCCAATCTGGCCAGAACTTACCTCCCCTTGCTTTGGGGCATCTGGTGGCCCCTCCCTAGGAGGAAACACGGGATGGGTGGAGCCGGGTGGAGGGAGCCGGGCCAGGCGCTGCGGGTGTAATCTGGCCAGGAGCCTATCGCAGTGGGCTCTGTCCCAGGCCAGCAGGCCAGCGCCTCAGGGCACCTTGGGGGCATAAAAGTGCAGTGGGAGAGACAACACCAACTCCTGCCCTGCCCGGCGCCCGCGCAGTCTCGGAGAGCCATGGCGCTGCAGACACTGTTGGTGGGCTTGGCCCTCACCCTGCACGGGGTGTCCCCCAGCCGGGCCCAGGTCCCCATCCAGGCCAGCTTCGATGCCAGCCAGGTGTGCCCAGCATCACCGGTCCGAAGGGCCTGGCGGCCTCGCCCTCCCCATACCTTCTCTGATCCGAGCTTGACTCAAGTCTGGGGGACAGGGAGAGAGCCCCCATCCATCTGCTCATCCAACTTCAGGCGGGGGTGTGCTGGGTAGGACTGCAGGCCCCAGGGTCGTGCCTGCCACTCCTCAGGCCGCAAACCGGGTGCGTGGTAGCTGTTCCTCGTTTCCGGGTCAGGGTTGAGGTGGCACAGGGGCTGCCCTCAGCTCCCCCCGTAACCCCCCTGCAGTTCCAGGGCACCTGGTACGTGGTTGGGGCGGTGTCCGACGACCAGGGCTTCCTTGACTCCAAGGATAACATGAAGATGCCTGTGGCCTTGGTGACCCCCTTGGCCAACGGCGACCTGCACCTCAAGTTTGGGTACCCCACGTAAGTGACCCACGAGCCTCACTTCACACGGGGCCTTAGACGCGGCCAGTGTGAGGCCAGCTGGGAGCCAGCAGGAACCAGAGGTGTCCTGGACACATCAAGGCCTCAAGCCAGGCCCCAACCGGCGCCAGGGGGCAGGGGCCGTTGAAACAGCCGCAGCAGCTGGCCTGCTCCCCAAGGGGGCCCGTCTGAGGTGGACGCTCTGCCTGAGGCCTGGGCGTGGAGGAACGGTGTCCTTGTGCCTGAGTGTGTGTGTGTGTGTGTGTGTGTGTGTGTGG